TTTATGTCTCAACGATCAACAGAGTAGAGCACTCGATCGAGCTGGATGGAATTGGCCTAAGGGTGAAGTGAAATCTTTAGCGGGGAACAAATTTAATTTCCTAATACCCTTGAAGATTTTACTAAATATCTTTTCCGATTACAATAAGGCTATTATGGGAAGACAGAAAATAAAACTTGTCAGAGCTAGAAATGATGATAACTGTTACATCAATACGACTGGAGATAAAACAGCAAAAATTACTTTAGACACAGTAGAATTGAGGGTGAGGCACATTTATCCAAACGATGTTTTAAAATTGAAATTATTGGAAGATATTTCGAACAACAAACCCATATTTATTCCATTCAGAAGTTGGGAGATTCATGAGTTACCTACATTGAGAAAATCCAAGCGAGACGTGTGGACTGTGAAATCAATGTCCGAGAGAGCCAGATATATCATAGTGTTTTTCCAGAAAAACCGAAAAGATAATCCTCGGTATGATATTACTCTTTTCGATAATTTAGACATTACAGATGTCAAGCTGTATCTAAACTCTGAAGTTTATCCGTATGAATCACTGAATCTTAATTTCGATGACAAACAGTTTGCAGAAGCATACCGGATGTATACCGAATTTCAAAACACGTATTTGGGTAAAACCAATAGTGAACCATTGCTGGACCTTCCCAATTTTGCCAACAGGGCATTATTTGTTATAGACTGCTCAAAACAGAACGAATCCCTCAAAAGCAACACGACTGATGTCAAATTAAAGTTCCAAAGCTCAGAGAATTTTTCGGAAGATACACGAGCCTGTTGTATAATCGTACATGATCGGGTGTTTGAATACTTACCTTTATCAGGTAACGTTAGAACATTGATGTAGCCAGTGACTATCAAGCATTCGCAGAAAAGGATTGAGTTTGTGCTTTTGGACGGTCAATGTTACTTTTCTACTGATTTTTCAAGTTAAAGAATTGGCTTTTTGTGATGGGAAACTGCTTAGAAGTTCCGTATTTGAACCAAAAATTCAACATCGTGAGTTGAATGAAGCCCAGAAGAAAGAACTCAACTATGTATCCCACAATATTCATGGTGTTCCATACAATACAGGCTGTGTAGACTATGGAGAACTTAATCAAGTGCTTCAGGACAATTTAAAAGACATTGATACTGTTTACGTTGAAGGCTATGTTAAACAAGAATTTCTAATCAAAGTTCATGTTAAAATTAATGTAAATCCTCTAACTATAATTAATTTAGAATTTTCAGTAGGTAAAGTACCCAAGCTGGTTTATAAGCCCCACTGATTTCAATTATCATAAAATTAGTATTCGTTCATGTAGTGTTAAGAATGTATATGTATTGTATAATTATATTGGAAGTACCAAAACCCACAATAACTTGTATAATATTTTATAAATAAAACAATTATTACATAATAACAAGTGCTTTTATTGTCATATAATTACAAAAATCCTCTCCGACTAGTCTGATTTCTTATTTCGTGGTCTAGTTGAGACGTTTTGTTGTTGGTGTTGTTATTGTTGTTGCTTTCTCAATTCCATTAGATCTAGAAAATCAACATGATTAGTTTCAGTTCAATAATTTATATAGTATACTTACAATTCAATAATTTCAAAAATGGTTGTTGAATTCAAGCCTTCAATTGCTTTCATACCCTTGAAAATTAGTGCATATTTCCCATTCTCAAAGTAACCAATATTTTGTCTTATCGGTTCGGTTGAACGTTGTGGGAGAAAAGTGATATTTTTTCTAGTTCCACTCTCGCTACCTCTCCAAATTTTGAATTAACAATTGCAATCCTTATAATGGGATACGGATGATTTGGGGCTAGTTCCTTTAATTTCAAATATGGCTTTTCCTCAATACAGGCGGCTTGGTTTATTTGATCTAAATTCATGTTTGTCTATGGAAAATAGAACAACGTATTATTATCAGGCTCTTTAAGAATAGGTATTGATAAAATTACTTACATAGTTTTTAGCACTAAATACACAATCAATTATAATTGAGGCAAGGCCCAATTTGAATTAAGTTTCCGTTGAAAAATTCGATCTGGATGAGCACTGAAAATAGATCTAAAAAGAGAAAAAATGTACTGTATGCTATATAATAAAAATAATATACTTACAATTTCAAAGACACGTTCCAAGAGCCCAAACCTCGAAGTGGTCAAATTTTGATTCTATTATTAAACTAAAAATAGAACAACGTATTATTATCAGGGTCATTAAGACTAATGAAAAAATTTCTTACATAGTTTTTAGCAATAAACAAACTTCAAATAATCCAACGCCCAACTTTGAATGAAATTTTCGTTGAAAAATTCGATCTGGATGAGCACTGAAAAACGTTGTGTCACCTAAGGACGCTAGAATTTAACATGAATCTAACTAAAATTTGAAAATGAATAACAAGTACCAGGCCAGCCAGCTGCGTTTCGCGTTTTGTTGTTTTCTCATTTCCAACCAATCTAAAATTAAAATAATTAGTTTCAATTGGATAGTTTATATTATAGTAAACTTACAATTCAACAATTTCAAAAATCGCCGTTGGATAGTCCCTGAATCTCTTTCATAGACTTGAAAATGAGTGCAAATTTCCCAGCCTCGAAATGGTCAAGATTTTGTTTAATCGGTTCGGTTGAACGTTGTGGTAGAAATGTGATAGGTACATTTTTCCAAGTCTACTTTTGCTACTTCTCCAAATTAAGAGTTAACAACTGTTATACTTATAATGGGATACAGATGATTTGGAACTAGGTCCTTCAATTTCATATAGGGCTTTTCTTCAATACAAGCCGCCTGGTTTATTTGATCTAAATTCATGATTGTCTCTTAAAAAAAAAAAAAATAGACCAATGTATTATTATCAGGGTCATTAAGATTAATGAAAAAATTACTTACATAGTTTTTTAGTAATAAACACAATTAACTTCAAATAATCCAACGCCCAACTTTGAATGAGATTTTCGTAGAAAAATGTTTTTGAAACTGGAGCATTGAAAAAACGTTGTGTCACTTAAGAACGCTGGAATAACTTACTAGACTTTGAATGAATATAGAACAACAATAACAACAATGTTTATTATCGTCGCAGGAAATGCCGCTTCCGTGTGATAAGCACGATTAAGCAAGTTCACACACAACTTGCTGTTTTTGCTGTTTATGAGAACGGTAGAAATTATAATTATTTTAAAAATAATATTTGGGGCCCCCCAATTAAATCGTTACAAGTCCGTGAAAAATGAGGCCCAAATTGGAGCACTATTTTTTCAATGATGATGATGATGTTGTCTTTTATGTGACCATATTTTAGTTTAGAAAAATGGGGCCGACGACGACGACGAAAAAAGGGGGCCCAGTACGGTGTATCTTGTTACAAGTAACGGGGTACCAGGTACGAGGTACCAGGTACGAGGTACCAGGTACGAGATACGCGGTATCAAATTTCAGGTTATGAGTTCTAGATACGTTGTACAAATTTCAGGCTACCAGCACGAGATATGGGACATCAAATTTCAGGTTATGAGTTCTAGGCTACGTGCGCCTCAAAATTTGGGGGCCTGTATTGGTTCCATATACGATAATGGATAATGGGGCCGCGGGTCTAGCTGCGGAGACAAGTGGCCCCTTTCCGATTTTTCCCTAGATTTAGGGAAATTTTATTGGCAACGTCGCACATTATTAGTTTCGACAACGTCGCACGTACCTGTCATCTCGTATGGGGTATCTCATTTCAGGTTATGAGTTCATGTAAATGGGGCCCCCGAAAAAAAAAAATGGGGCCACGGGTCTAGCAGCGGGGACAAGCATGTGGCCCCTTTGATGACGTCACTTATTGGGTTAGGTCTATTCAAATTGGGGGCTTGCTACTTAGGTTAGGCCTCTTTAAATTGGGGCTTGCCAAAAAAAAAATGGGGCCCACGAAAAAATGGGGCCACGGGTCTAGCAGCGGGGACAAGCATGTGGCCCCTTTGATGACGTCACTTGGGTTAGGCCCCTCCAATTTGGGACTTCTCTGATGACGGGCACGGGCCCCAGAACGAGAATGGGGCCACTTCCGGTCGGGAACTCTCTTAGTATATCTACTCGGGGCATATCAATTTCAAAGGAAAAATCGTATGTGTGTGGGCAAAAAGTGTCATTTATCGTGTCTTTTGAAAGTGCATGATGTGGTCATGTAGTCTGTTTTTTTTTTAAAGATAATTCCTTAATTAATGGAAACTGGGTATGTATGTATGTACATTCAGGCAAAAATTCGCGATTTTGCGTCTGTGGAGGATAGGCTTTACTAAGCAGTCTCAGCTGCTGGGGCCGCTTGAATGTACCCGTTTCGCAATCCATGATTTTCAAAAGTTTTTTCTGAGCACACACAAGAATTATTTTTTATTCAATTTTCAATTTATTTAACAAAACAACATTCAAATTCAACCGTTCAACCTACTTAAGGTAGAACCTCAATCAATCAGGGTAGCGAAGTGGCACTACGGCACGCGTGCTGGGCAATTGATACCCATCTTCAATGCTGAATTTTATTTTATTATATTCTACCGTAGTGTGCATGACACAAGTCGGCCGCATCGAAAAAGCTTGCAGCTTGCAAGCTTGCACTTTGGAGTCGGCTCGGCGTGCATGCTAGCACGGAATTGAATTGACGATGCCAACGTTAAATAGGGTTGCCACCTGTCCTTTTTTGAAAAGGACAGTCCTTTTTTCAAACAAATTGTCCTTGTGACTTTTTAAACCTTAAAATGTCCTTTTTAAAAACTATTTGGATAAGTACCACTATTTTTCGGGACGAATCTAAAAAAAAATTTGCACTCGCATCGCAGCAGTACCGGTGCAGGGTGCAGCCCGCGAGCTTCCAGAAACCCAGTCCCAGTGCTGGTTTTTCGAACGCACTTGGTACGCAGCTGTCAAAAAAGTTTGGTTATGTTATGTTATGTATTTATGTTCATTTTTCCCAAATTTTTGCGGCAAGTAAATGGCAATTTGCAGCCGTTGAAGATTAATCCAAAATATCTTGGTTATTTGTTTAAATTTCATTAGTTCAATTAGTTGATATCATGGTATGTGAATTGTTTTCATTATTTTCTATCTTTTGTGGGCGTTTTCGAGCGGCAAGACAAGCTGGTAAGTTTTATTTGTTTGTATATTGATTGAATAATGGTTTTCGTTTCGTTTGAGGTAGTTTTCAACTGGGAAGTTGGAGTTTGCCAGTAGTGCCGTAGTGCCAGTTGACTGAATAGTACAGTACACAACTACACAACTACAAAGTCCAAATATCAGTTACCTACCTATATTAGATTTGCATTTTACATGCAGTTCACGAAAATGAATGTGGAAGAGGATATAATAAACATAGACGACGGAGACGTAGACGAAGACGACGTAAACATAGACCTGCGTGAATCCGAAAACCTCACTGATGGTTGTATTGGAAATGGTGGTGGTAGCACTGGGGCTAGTGCGAGTAGTACAAGTGGAAGTACTCGTACTGGGATGGCAAAGTTACAGGTGTTTAATTTGAAAAAAACGAATTGTGAAGATATTATTTCACTGTTTTTTTCAGATTTCTCTAGCCCAACTTAACCGAAGAAGTAGCACACCCCCACGTCCTAAAAAAAAAGGGTAACATATTACAACAAAGAGTGGGCAAATACGTATGACTGGCTGAAGCAAGGCTCTTCAGGTACCGAAGCATTTTGTAAAACTTGCTCGCTTTCATTTTCAGTAGCTAACACAGGACATTCTGCTATAAAACAACACAGTGAAAGTAAGCTACACAAACAGAAAACTTCTGCTGCAAAAACTTCACATTCAATGGAAACGTTTTTTGTGAAAAAAAAATTCAGATGAGGAATTGCAAGTTATTCTGATAGAAATATGTAAAATTTTTCATTGTGTCAAGCATAACCAATCTTATAATTCTTTAGACTGTTCATTTAAATTAGATACAAAGATTTACACAGACTCCAAAGTAGCAGTGAAACTTTCCTGTGGAAGGACTAAAAGTCAAGCGATTGTGCAAAATGTCTTACCGCCGATGGTACTGGAAAAACCGATTGAATTGTTAAGGCATCATTTTCCAAAACTTTTCTTTAGCGTTCAGTTGGATGCTTCAAACAGGAAAAATGTTAAACTATTTCCAATTTCTGTTCAAATGTTTACGGTTGAAGGGGGGCTTCAAAATTTTATGTTGCACTTTTGTGAAAATAGTGACGAAAGTGCTGATTGGATGTTTAACATGGTGAATAATAGTTTAAAGGAATTAAAATTGGATTGGGGTCAAGTTTCGTCGTTAAGTGCAGATAATACAAATTCAAATTATGGTGCTCATCACAGTCTTTTCACCAATATTTTGGCTAAAAATGAAAACATATTAAAAAGAAATTGTCATGCTCATCTAATACATAATTGCGTCAAGTTTTCTATGGACACTTTAAGTTTGGATGTTGAAAATCTTGTTCTCAAAATCTATTCTCACTTTTTTGTCTGCCAAACGTCGGGAAGAACTTAAATCCTTTCATGAATTTACAGATTGTCAATGGCGTGAACTAATAAGACATGTTGGGACTCGCTGGCTTTCATTGAATCCGTGCGTAGAAAGAATCTTGACCAATTATGTAGCTCTTTGTAGTTACTTTTCAAGCATAGAAAACTGCCCATTACAGATTAAAAAACTTTTAAAACTAGATGAAGATACTGGCGCAGTTGCACCAGAAATCGAAATTTATTTACTCTTTTGTAATCATATTCTCAGTGTATTCGAAACATTAGTAAAGGTGCTGCAAGAGAACGGCAGCAAAATCGGTCATTTTCCCATGTAAATCTCCATAAGAAAATCTAAGGTCCAAAATGGCACTTTTCGGACCGTTTTGGAGTGGGGGTAAAATTTCCTAGAATTAGGCCCCGCCCCCTTTCCAGCGCCCAGGTCTGCATCGACCGTTCGCACTACCTCAGTAGCCGCCGAGGCAGCCGCACATACTTGCTACCTGATACTGATGATGCCGTAACTCTCGCTCTCTTGCTCTCATACCTCAACCTCGTACCTCATACCTCTCTCTCTCACTCTCATATATAATCGGCCCGCTGCAGCAACCGCTAGGCTATCCTAGCAGTTGTTAATAAATGGTGAAAAGGAGGAGGTAACACGCAATCATGAGGAGCGGTCAGTTACCTGGGTCATATTGGCACTTTGGGTGTCTCATACCTCATACTGATAATGGCGCAACTAATTCAAATTTCGGGTGTCTCATACCTCATACTGATAATGGCGTAACTAATTCAAATTTCGGGTGTCGCATACCTCATACTGATAATGGCGTAACTAATTCAAATTTCGGGTGTCGCATACCTCATACTGATAATGGCGTTACTAATTAAAATTGATGGGGGAAATAATTGTCGAGAAAATAAAAATTGTAAAATATTCAGGGGATCCATTGAGAGGCCGTGGACATAGACCGTGCATACCTTGATGCTCCATACAAGGTACTGATGATGATGTACCTCTCGCTCATACCACATACCTGTCTTTCTCTCGCACAACAAACACAAATTAATTTTGTTATGGTCTTATAGGAAACCGGGGTTTATTATCAGCTCAGTGCATACATCTAATAGACATCGCCTCGGAAAAAAATGATTATAATATAAAAAGAGAGTAAAGGTGCTAGGACAGAACTGGGCCAAAATCGCCCATTTTTACATGTAAATCTCCATAAGAAAATTTCAGGTCCATTCTGGCACTTTTCGGACCGTTTTGGAGTGGGGGTAAAATTTCCTAGAATTAGGCTCCGCCCCCTTTCCAGCGCCAGTAGAGGTAGATGGTTCGTTCTACATCCTCCGACGCCTCCGACGCTAGTGCGCATGTGCAGTATCAGCGTCGCGACGCTCTGACGTCATCACATAAGATACGCTCTTGGAGAGGTCTAACCCAAGATGTAAAAGCTAGACGCGAAGAAGCCTAACCCAAATGACGGTTACGCAGACTAGGGCGTGACACGTGATTTGCGTCAAATGTCACCTGTCATTATTGACAGCTCTCTAGTTATCCCGTATCTCATACAAGAGACCCGTAACTAGTTATCCCATATCTCATATGAGATACTCGTTACTAGTTATCCCATATCGCATACCTAATACTGATGATGACGTAACTAGCCCTAAGGGTGTTTTCAAAAATTTTTGAAAAAGTTCCCAACTATATCAAAACTCTTTTGGAGCGAAAACCAGCGTTGCTGCCATTTTCGCGCACAGCTAACTATAAAGGGAAGCCTGAAAAACCAGTTTTGGTCATCTGCGCATGTTGCCTAAGGGCCTTATACTATTTTCTTGAATAATTCCCGTTCTAGCAGTCCGATTCGAATAATTCTTTCACCAAAAATTTCTAAATAATTGAGCGCTCATTTGAAGACTATTTCCAGCCGTTTAGCATTTACCAAAAGGGCCCTAATCAAATTTTCTCATATAATTCGCGTTCTAACAGTCCGATGCAATTAATTCTTTCACCAAAAATTTCTAAAATTCAATCGTGATTTGAAAATATATACACAACAAGCAAAACTTTTAATCAAGAAGCAGAAAACCGCAATTCTTGCTGTTGTTGGCGAAATAATAAATTTTACATCAAATAATTTTTCAACATTGCATGACATAATATTTCAATTCGTACTTGTATAAAAAATTTCTATTCAAATAATAATTGTACTTTTGCAAACTTGTTTTAAAATAAAACCTCAAATATTATTTTTAAATAAGTAATAATAATTCTCACCAAGCGTGTGAAACTAATTTATTCAAAGTCTTCTTATCTCAGTAACGGAAACCGCAGTATTTCCTGCCAGCTGCAAACTAATTGCGACTGGCACACAATTATTGTTATTCACACAAATTCAGTCTGATTTCAGTTTTTACAGATACAAGACGCTCGGCTCCAGTTTGCTATTCAAGTTCAGCCAATTAAATTGCTTACTTTGTGTGTGTTTAGTGCTCGTTGCTAGAAAACTGTAAGTACTATTTTTTAAATTATCTAAGTGATTTTTTGTAGGATAAGTCCATTCCCTGAGAGATATTTTTTATAAAATTCAAATATTTTCGATTACCATTAACACAAACCTTGATTTTTTAAAATATTTTGACTTTCACTAACACAATTTTTTTTTATTTGTTAAAATAAATTTTACATAAAAACTATAATTTATTTTTTAATTGAATTCCATTATTTTGTTTTCCTAAATAGCCTAAATTACTTTTTTATTTTTCCATGCAAAAACTCATACTTAGTAATTTCTTTTTATGAGGTTAAACTTCAACTAGTATCACAAATCTTGAATTTTTAAATATTTCAACTTTCACCAACACAAATTTTTTTCATTTGTTAAAATAAATTTTGCATAAAAACTGTAATTTATTTTTTTAATTGAATTCCATTATTTTGTTTTCCTAAATAACTTGAAATAATTTTTTTAATTAACATTCACACATTTACTTTTACGTACATTTCTAATAATTTATTTTTAATTACACTATATTATGTATTATAGTTCAATTTTAGTTTTTCCATGCAAAAACTCATACCTAGTAATTTCTTTTATGAGGTTAAAATTAAATTAACACTGTTCATTTTCATTTATTTTGAAATAAACCACCATGGACAGCAGATTTTTTAATTTTGCAAATATTTCAGAAAATGTTTACTTGCGAATTCTGCATTAAGTCGTTCACAAGGAAGGATAACCTAAAACGTCATGGAGATTGTCGAACATCTGCCAAGATCTGCAGTCAATGTGGTGGGATTTTTAAATCAGAGAGGGTTCTCCAACGCCATCTCCAAGAAAAACACCCAGCCCAGAGAGCTCCCAAACGCAAGGCTGTAGATCCCGCAAACTCCATGGCGAAGCAGGCTAGACTTGACCAAGTTGCTGGTGAGTTAAAATTGAACTAATTAAAAAAATCTCTAACATAATTGTTTTCAGGACCATCAACATCAGCCAACCGGTGTGAAGTTAGCAGCCTTTTTGCAGCAGCCAAAAATGTGAAGTTAGCAGCCATTTGTAGCAGCCAAAATTGTGAAGTTAGCAGCCATTTTTTGGCAGCTCTTTTTTTTTTAAATGGTTGATTTACAAATTTTGTGTACATTATTATTATATACCCTCGTGCAAAGTACAACAGAAAAAAAAAAAAAAAAAAAACTACCCCTAATAAAACATCAAGTAGAACATTAATATCTACAAAACAACTTTTCTAAAATAAAATATAACACCCTGAAATTTAGAATAGTCTTTAACATAGCCCTCAAGTACGTCTAGTTCGAAGAACAACCCCTCATTGCCGTCAGGCTGGGATCAACCCTTATTATTAAAATAATTGGAAAAGCGCATTTCGGGAGAGTGTAACACCATCAAACTCAGTGGGACGATCATCAGAACCATTTCTAACATTCCCACCAAAGGATAACCCCTTACCTGCCGTCGGAGTGTGTCAAAAACTACCCTTAGTGTGAAAATAATATAAAAATTTTTTTTCGGAAAACTGTAACGCTCTGAAACTTGATTGGGACGATAACTAGAACCATTTCGAACATTCCCACCAAAGGACAACCCCTTACCTGCCGTCAGAGTGTGTTAAAAACTACCCTTAGCATGAAAATGATAGAAAAAAATGGGAAAAAACACATTTCGGAAAACTGTAACGCTCTGAAACTTGATTGGGACGATAACTAGAACTATTTCAAACATTTCCTCCAAAGGAAAACCGCTTACCTGCCGTCGGAGTGTGTTAAAAACTACCCTTAGTAAGAACATTACAGAAAAAAATTGGAAAAACGCATTTCGAGAAACTGTAACGCTCTGAAACTTGATTGGGACGATAACTAGAACCATTTCGAACATTCCCAGCAAAGGACAACCCCTTACCTGCCGTCGGAGTGTGTTAAAAACTACCCTTAGTAAGAAAATGATAAAAAAAAATTGGAAAAACACATTTCGGAAAACTGTAACGCTCTGAAACTTGATTGGGACGATAACTAGAAACATTTCAAACATTCCCTTCAAAGGAAAACCCCTTACCTGCCGTCGGAGTGTGTTAACAACTACCCTTAGTACGAAAATAATAGAAAAAAATTGGAAAAACGCATTTCGAGAAACTGTAACACTCTGAAACTTGATTGGGACGATAACTAGAACCATTTCAAACATTCCCACCAAAGGACAACCCCTTACCTGCCGTCGGAGTGTGTTAAAAACTACCCTTAGTAAGAAAATTATAGAAAAAAATTGGAGAAACGCATTTCGAGAAACTGTAACGCTCTGAAACTTGATTGGGACGATAACTAGAACCATTTCGAACATTCCCACCACAGGACAACCCCTTACCTGCCGTCGGAGTGTGTTAAAAACTACCCTTAGTAAGAAAATGATAGAAAAAAATTGGAAAAAACACATTTCGGAAAACTGTAACGCTCTGAAACTTGATTGCGACGATAACTAGAAACATTTCAAACATTCCCATCAAAGG